ACCGTCATCTGAATCACTTCGATACAAACGTTTCATGTTTTTCGAATATGTTTCTTCGTAAAAATGCATTTTTTTAACAGATTCTTCTTCTTCCAACGTGACTCTCAGTTCAATATTATAAATCAGTATTATATCTGTATATGGTCCATTATCAGCCAATATACACTTCTTTCTCTTTTTTTTCCTTTTCTCTTTTCTCTCTTTTTCTCTCTTTCTCTCTCTATTTCCTCTTCTTTGACTAATTGGTTCCCTGATGAAGTGAAACCGCAATATCGATAAGTTTTAAATTAAGGTAGCTTATCTTTTTCATCTTTTTCTCTTTTTTTTATAATAGAGAGAAGAGACAATATTGATCAAATTTTTTTAGCATACACATTGTGCCTTCTAAAAAAAAAAGAGTAGATACTTGAATTTGAATACAGAAAACATCAAAAGTGTTTCTTGTGATATATTCACTATTTTGTTAGATGTATGTCTACTCGGAGAGTATTAGTGTATCGTAAAAGCTTACACTCCTCTTTTTTTCTTATTAGCTATAATAATTATTATCATCATCATCATCATCCAAAAAGTTAAAAAGATCTACCGATCATACTAAATACGTTCATTTCTCTTCCTATCGTTTAATACAACACAAATTTTTTGAATAGAGAGAAGAGAGAAGAACAATACTATATATACATTTAAAATTTAATAAAATGGCATACGCGTGCCGCGGAGTGTTCAGTAGATCACAGAGTTAATTAGAGTACTCTTCTTTTTAAATACTGACTTTTGATTGGTAATTAGTTCAAAAAGTAATCAAAAATTTGGCAATAAGAGTTAGCGATGATGCTTTTTATTGATTCAATCTTACTTATTACAAAAAGTATTTTAGTTTGAAATGATGATAAAATCGTTGGCTTGAGTATATAAAATGCAATTTCTTCAATTTTATGTTGAATATGACCATACAATGTATTCTATCTAACTAATTTGCAATAGGATCAAGGATAATACTACGTTAATATTCACTTGTTCCGACATTAAATAAACTCGTGTGACGTATCATGCATACATCACATCTGTAAAATATTTTTAGTTTTTTCTGTATTTTTAGAGTTTTTGAATCGGTTGTAAAGAAATTAATTGAGATCCGTTTATTCTTTTAGTTGAAAAACAAGATGAAACAACTCGTGTAGTGTAATGAGATCTATTCGCTGTCGGTATATACCGTTTTCATTACAAATGATGTATAAAAATTGAAGAGGAAAATTATATTTTTAAAAATTATTTTGTCTCTCTATTGTTTTCATATAATTCTATCTAGTGATGTGGATCGTGAAAAGTTCATTTGATTTATTTACTAATTAGTACTTGACTGGTTCTCTGTAAATTGAAAAATAGAAGCGTAACGAACAAATAAGAATGAATGATGGAAAAATATTAACCCGTTGGGGAAAATAATATAATAGAAATTCCACTGACAGCACATACGAAGGATTATCCCTAGTACTGCCATAGAAAGAGAAAAAATAAAAAGAGTAAAAGAATGAGAATATATAGAATTTTAATCGATGGAATGATAATATAATTAAAAGGTTTGAAATCATGCTATATCACCTACTGCGTTTAGATTCAAAGAGTGAGGCCATCATATCGTTACTTGATCATTCTATTCTAATATTTATAACACATATTTTAATTTAATCATGATAATAACAATGACGCATTTTTTTAAATGAACCGCTCTCAAACTCGTTGAAAACATATGAGTGATGTCTACACATTATTTTGTTAGTTTATGATAATAATATCTTTCAACTGTTTCGAATATATTCGTACAAGTTATTTGAAAACAAGTTTCTCTAACTTTGTTTTTTAACAAGCGTTTCTCCAATAATATTTTTTCATGAGTTTGTCTAGCTATTTATCCAGTGATAATAGGATTCATCTTTGTCCTACACGTTGGACTGTGTTCTTCACCAATGACGAGAAATTAAAGAATGTAGTATTTGTACATTCCGAACTGTGTACTGCATTCTCTTATTCTTTCTCGTTGGTATGTGAGAACTCAGTAAGTGTTGAAAATGTAAATCGATACAATGTTTCAATCTCTCTTAGTATATGGCATGTTAAGAATACGGTAATTGATGACTCTTAAGAAGATCTCACACTTATCAGTTTGCGCTTCTTTAAAACATCAAAATAGTTGGATCATATTATATTCGTGTACAATGTCTAATTGGAAAGAGATATCTTTTTTTTTTCTAATGCAGGATTTTAAGCGATTATATACCTCGGACAGCAGTCACAATTTTTTTCTTCTAACGATAGGTAAAAACGTCATGCTTTAGAATGAAACTAAGAAAGAGTTGAACTGCCATATTTGAGCACATGCATGAACGCAAAAAAATCGAATATGCCTCTTCTTTGACACTATAATCAAGTCAAACTAAATTAGTTCTAATGGAATTTTTGGATGGTTGGATAGAGAATTGTCTTTTCTACTCCGAAATCTATCATTCCTCTATCAGTTAAAAAAAATGACTAAGCAAATAGAGATTTACGAAAAACGAAAAATTAAGAACAGTAACTTCCTATTATGTTATTGTATTTTCTTGTTTTTTTATTTTCTCTCTCTTTTTTTTCTCTTTCACACACATATAGACAGAAAAACTATGCTACAAAGGAAATTATGGAATGGATACTGAGTTTGATCGACAAAATAAGAAAAGATGAAAGGCATTGATATGTAACTGATTTAAAGCATTTTTACTTCTATAATAAAAATATAATCAAAATTTACGGGTCTTTATTTTTTTTAAAATCATGTTTTATGTCTTTTTCTTTTCAAAGACAAATAGTAAAATAGAGCATGGATAAGAAAGCTTTTGTCTTTCTATCTATCTAACTAACTCTTACAGAAAAACATACAAGCGGATCACTGAACAAAAATCTCTTAGGCTATCTATAAGTTCTCTTATAGAATTAATCATTTACTACTAATATAATACTATGTTTTTGTTTTATTCAAATAATTGTAGAGACAAAAAAATTCAGTAAAAGCGTCATTAATTCAATTTTTCTTGTTAAATCTCGAGCAGATGACAAGCGAATGTCCAAAAGTATAAAAATAACTTATTTATTCTCTAAACAGTGAAAAAGCCATGTCAAATATGTTTTTTTTCAAAAATAAGCATAAAAGATGTATCTAGAATGAATGGCATATAAAAAATATTTTATTTTGGTTTCGTCTTCTAATTATGATATATTAGTGCAAAGAAAAACAATAAAAATTTTATTTTTTAAATTGAACATATTCTCAGGTAAAAATGTTACTATATCAAGAAACACATTATATAAACTTGTATATTTCTCTATAGTTGTGCTATAAAGATATCTAATGTTAAGTAAAACTGTTGAGAGAGACATTTAAGCAAATAATTCCAGATTATTGCTGAAAGCATTTACTTATTTCTAACGTATTCTAGGTCATCACTAAGATAGGATTAAATGTTTTTGGTGTCTCCATTCATTACGGATATTCTTCTTCTTCTTCTTCTATTTTTTTTCCGATGAAAAAACAACAACAAAAAAAAATAAAAAATAAAATAAAACAAGACGACGATAAAAAAGGCGTTATGTCATGATACGTGCGCTTTTGTTTTTAGAGTTTCTACGATGAATAAAAAAGGAAATTTCTTTTTCTAGTATATATATATATATTCATATAAATATTTTTATATTTTTACTAAGTGATATCCTATTAGTAATTATTCTTTTTCAATTTAGAAGATCTTATATAGAGAAATCAAGTGAGAAAAATTAGTGTTTCAGATCAACACGAAAATTAAAGATGAAGATAGTCGTTTTCTTTTCTTTTTTTTTTTTTCATTATTTTTATAAAATTAATTCCTATTTTATTATGTTGATTGAAAACGTTTTAGTCAAGGTCATTTCTTTTCATTGAAAAAGAGTAGCCTTGTTGATTATATTTAGTTTTTGAGTATTCCAAAACGTCTACTATAAAAAGAATAGATCACACAAAGATTGATTTAATTTAAGTTGATAAATTGTTTTTTTTTTTTTTTTTTTATTTTACTATCTACTAGAGAATCTATCGTTTAATTGTTGTTTTTATTGTAGTCATTCAGAAAATAACTTCTATTAGTTAAGATTTAAAATTTAAAGCAAACCGTAAGTAGAAAATATGTTCGAGATTACTATTTATGAGTTTAAAATGACTTTTTCAAAGATTTACAATTTATAAATCGTTATTTATAAATATTTTGATTTATAAACGTATTTGTAAATGATTTTTTACTGGAAAATTAGTTAGAAAATTTTGGAATTTTAAATGATTTATAAATCATCCATTTATAAATTTATTAGTCGAGTTTGCTCAACAAGATGTATATTAATGAAAATGTTATGTCATTCAATAATTTCATCTCCTAATTTGTTTTAAAAAATTTGATATGCGTGCACCACCCCCATATATAGTGTTACTCCTTTCTCTCTCTCTCTCTCTCTCTGACTTTATGGTGTTATTATTTCTTTTATTTTATTTATATATTCTACGAAAGAAAGACAAAATAAAAACAAAGAAAGACTGATATTAAAAATTGAACAGTCACTATTAGAAAACACATTTATGTCTAGAATCAATGAGAAATGAAAGTTTGAATTAAAATATTTTAGAAAAACAAATAATATCGAATAGTTTATACTTTAATTTATAAATCTAAATTTCTTATCAAACTATTCATTTTATCTTTAGAATGATATTTTTAAAACGAAAACGATTGAATCTATCTCATGTCAATAGCTAATATTCAAGATAATTCTAATACAACTGATATTCTTCTTAAAAATGATGAAAATACTACTACAATTCATAATCTCGCTCATCAAATATATTTAGTTACATTTCCAGCATTAGTTTTAATCGGTATCATTTGTAATACGTTAATATTCATAATAATGCGTCGTCGTCGAATGAGACATTTGTCTACTTGTTATTATATGGGAATATTGGCTATTACTGATACATTTGTACTATTATTAGGTTTTACCGTTGCATGGACATATATGGTAAATAGAAAATGGTCATTATTATTACAATCAAGTTATACATGTAAATTATTATCTGTACTATTTTATACTGTTGCCGATTATTCTGTTTGGCTAGTTGTAATGATGAGTATTGATCGTTGTATTGCTGTTGCAAAACCATTACACGTTAATTCTATTTGTACAGTAAAACGAGCAAAATTTTGTGTTTGTTTATTAGCGTTTATTTCATTTTTGATTAATGTTCATTTCATATTTACTCATAAATTGTATCGTGATGATGATTTTTCAGAATGTTCACATTTTCCCGAATATGAATATTTTATTATACGTATTTGGCCATGGGTTGATGCTGCTGTTTATTCTGTATTACCATTTATTTTATTGTTAACAATGAATTTAATTATTGTTCAACGTCTATGGTATGCTAGAAAATCGAGTGATAAATTACAAATATATCAGACTAATTGTAATTCTCGTATAAAAAAATTAAATAGCTCAATGAGTAGAAAATTGACAACAATGTTATTATCTGTTACATTTTTCTTCCTGTTTACTTCTTTACCGTTGGTGTGTTTACAATTATATCAAAATATTCATCATAATATGAATATTTCAACAAGAATAACATCGTATTTAAAACCAATATGTGAAACATTACAATACAGTAATCATTGCGTAAATTTCTTCTTGTATGCTGTAACGGGAAAGGCATTTCGACACGAATTAAAACGTTTATTTCATGCATGTACATCACTAATGAAATTTCAAAATAAAAATCGTACATGTGAATTGAATGATGTAAATATGATCAATAATTATAAATTACTTAAAAATAATAAAAATACATCATTAACGACACATCAAGATCACCAACGATCATCTCGACACTTTCTTAGTAAAACCAGTCAACAAATTCCATTACGAGTAGTATTACAACAACCTTCAACACCAACTATATTGAGACATCGTCTATCGTCGGATGCACTCTCATTACCGCTATTAGATAAAGATAGTAATAATAGTTATCGAATAAATAGAAATATGAACAATAGTCAATTAACTTCTATCATCTATATTCAACGAATCTCAAATGTATAAAGTGGCAAAATTTTTAAAAACTGATTTTAATAAAAAAAAAAAGAAAAAGAACAGATTTTTCTTTAAATGAATCATGATAATCGAAAAATATATTTTATTTGTCTAAAAATTTAACCCTTGTATATAAATATTAATGTGTTCTGTAAGAATAACAGAAATGTCTTTCTAATACTGAATAATTTATTAAAAAAAACGAACATCAATTTTATCTATTTTGTATGAGAAGATTTTCAAATAGTTTTGTGTACTCGCTTATATCTTATTCACATTGTGGGAAAACATACCAGCAGTCGATCAAAAATGTGCATAAAAAGTTTTAGTGTACCATGGCTTAAAAGTAGTCATTACATCAAATATTTTTTGCAATAAAAAATTTTGTATATGCGTACATTTTGTTTGTAACCTTACGTGTGAATATTGAATAAATGGACTGACTAACCTATTAAGTGGTAAGTTTGAACATAAAATCTTATAACTATTTTGGAGACAAACATATTCCAAATTTTATTATTAAAACAGTTACATATTTGTAGTTCATCGGTTAGAATTGATCATTTCAAAGCTTTAAATTCTATTATGATCTAATATGGTTCTGACGTTCCATTAGCTAACTATTGAATAGTTTAATACTACATGTAACAATGTACGATGTTATAATGTAGTTTAATTCTAATGTTGATTTAGAAACGTGATAAAAATTATGTAAAACATAGATAAAAATAAAATAATAAATGAATAAATAATCAATAAAATATCAAAAATGAAAATGAGAGATCGATATATAAATAAATAAATGATATTCTTATTTGATCAGATAGATCTTTTATGAATCGTTTTTCCTCACATGCGAACAAAATCATACGGACATATTTATGAAAGAATTTTTTGAAAGTTTAAATCATATATCTCTCATTATATAGTAGTTTTTAGTTCATGTCTTTTATGACTCAAAAATATGTTAAGTAATCCATACGTGTCATCGATAAACGTAACATTTGACCTACAACAATCCCATAAGCCATAACTTTAGGAAAATGTTCACTCAGTTTTGGATAATTCATAATATTAAAACTGAATTTGGATCGTTTATCGTATGATTTTATTTGAATAATATCATTTACGATGGTCATTTCAAAATCTAGAAATGTGACACTTCGATCATCAATATTCTCCTTATTTAAAGTCAGTTGGGGTGGATAAACTGATTTTAGATGATGGTTGAATTTATTTTCAGAGTTAATTGTCCGTAGATCGTCTGTGTGTCTCAATGTGTTGTTCAAGGATCTCCATGTAAAATACAAGGTTTGTAAATTTTTTTTCAGAAATTGAAACTCAGATTTATATTAAAACAGAGTCGCTAAAAATGATCCAGGATTAGTTCCCATAGACATTCCAATCACTTGACAAACAACAATTTATCCAAAAGTAAAAAATAGCAATTATGTAGTAAAACCTGAATCACATTACTAAATGATTCTCGAGAAACAACTGTTGTCGATTTATTATTCTGTATATTTCTATTGTGTTTCAGATTAAGATCAGTCTGAAATGTAGAAAATCATTTTTTCGTTACAAATAACAGTATTTTTTGACAAAATACTCTTTGTTATAATCCATTTCATTGATTCAATTGACAACTCATATGGAATAGATATATATAACGTTGAAAAATCATATGTTTCAATGTTTCTAGCGCATTTTTTTTCTTGTTTATTTCGTTGAACTTACTAAGATCGGTGAAGAAATGATCGATAATCTAAAAACAATTTATCTTACGAGGAAAGATCCCCAAGTGTTACTCTCACTTTTCAATAGGACATATCCTATTTGTAGAGCTCGACGAGCTGATCATAATGGCATAAAGCATTTTCCTCCATGATTCTTGAAGGGCCAGTTTTCAGAAACTCTGAAAAATAACCAAAACTTTTCTTAAAGAAGTATAATTGTAGCGCGCACATTTTTCATTAAAATGAGATATCTCCCGGCTCTGCACGACCTTTCTTTGCACAGTTATAGACTTTACAAAAAAAGCACTAAATTAATTTCTTCTTATTTCTGTAGCTTTGAGCTGACAATGAACATTTAGGGCTTTTCTTGTAAATTCTATAACTTTGCAAAGAAAGGTCATGTAGAGCTTTATTTTTACTAGCTTTGTCGATTGGAACTAGGACATATTTCTCGTGTATTAGATTAAATTAAGTTTTGGAAGTACCCCTCGACAAAAATAGAAAATCTTCTGGGTTATCGAGTGTGCTGAATCCGAAAAAGCACTTTTCATCAACTGAAAACCAACTTTATTCTTTTTATTCCGATGATTGATATACTCTACACTTTTTGAGAAAATTTATAATTAATGGATCTGATTTATTTTTCTCTATGTCAGCTACTTATTGTTGCTGTACTGGCAAATGTTTTTGATATTGATTTAAATAAAGGCGACTTTCAATTCCATCTAACACCATTTCTATAGTATCACCGTCAAACTTATCGGTATAAGTGAAGAGCATTTTTAACGATTGTTTATTAAAAAAACTAACGAAAATAAAATCCGACGACTATGATGAATAAAATTATACGGTTGTTTGTCGTATAAGATTTGAAGTTGTTTATATGTATTTTTCATCCATTGTTGTTTGTCATCAGAGGTTAATATCTTACATCGATGTTTACCTCCCCTGCTATCCATCTCGATCTCCACATTTTCTGATCATGTTATTATCTATCATTTCTTACTAAACCCCCCCCATAATAGAAGCCTCCGGGGCTTCTAAACTGTCCAAGTGTTCAGAATTTTTAGGGGGAGCTTGTATTATGAAGGGGCTACTATTACGACTTTCGTACAAAAATTTTCAGTGTCGATCGAATGTGTCGTTTAAAAAATTTAAATTATTTTTCCGACGTAATAGAAGCCCTTGGGCTTCTAATACACCTTCCACATCGATTCCTCCAGAGGGGGCTTCTAATACGGGGGGGGCTTCTAATATGGGGGAGGCTTCTATTATGGGGGGGGGGTTAGTACTAATTAGTCAATAAC